ACAGTATTGCTATTTGTAATAATATTCCATATTTTATGTTTTAAAAAATCGCATTACCCAACTTGAAAAGAAATGTTACAGTTATGTTGACAGCTGACACTAGGTACCTGTACTTATCTTGCAATCTTTAATGCTACAAAGACTGTTGAAAACAAATTTGACCAACAACAACAAAAAAGAAAACAAAATGAGCTTGGCAAGAAAACACCTGTCAAAAAATGCAGTATTTTACATTAATTCGAGAGTTAATTCCAGATAATATGAAATCACCAAAGGAATCCTGGATGACAGCTGCGAAGACACAATGGAAGGCAGTAAAGAAGCTCACACACAGCAAAGTGATTTAAAGATAGGAAAGTGATTTAAAGATTTTGAAGATTTAAAAATAACTCTTACGTAAAGGAACAATGATGGTACTTTGCTGTGCTGGTGGCCTGCCCTGTGTCCAGGAATGTTTTTCCTGGGAACAACCTAAACATCACATTCTCCTATAGCAAGAAACTAAACAGCTGATAGACAAAAGTAACAGTTTCACCAAAAATCATGGAAGCTCAGCCAACTGAGAACTCTCCCACCCAGCATGTGACCTACAAAAACCACAGACTGGGCTGAGGAAGAGAGGGAGTAAAAAGTCTAACCTGCAGAAAAAGAATGAGCTCAACACGTGCCATGAATTTTGAGTGCTGTCAACTACAGGCAAGGGCAGCACTCAAAAACCCCACGGAGAACCAAAGCGATGCACAGAAAATAGGAGGGAAGGAGGCAAAAGGGCTAGCTATTTCTATGGGTTCCTAAGTACAGAATCTCCTCCCAAATTGTAAGAAGAAGTGACTTAAAAGAACTGAAGATCTACCAGAAAAGGCAAAGCACTAAGGCTCTCTTGGCCAGGGTAAGACTTCTTTTCTCTGCACAGGAAAACTGGTTTTACTGCGGCTTAATAAGGCAAGTTGTTAATGTGATATGAGGGCTTTTGCAGCAAACAGAACTTTCGTTTTGTAGACTATTTTGCTATACTGGAAGGAGAGACCTGTCTGCACCATCCTGGGGGTAAAAAAAAAAAAAAAATCCTGCTGCCCCATCCGGGGGGGAAAAAAAAAAAAAAAAATTGGGAATGAGATCTACAAGTGGATTATGTCTTCTAGTCTGCTGAATGACTATAGGAATGTGACCTGGGTTGCCTTAAAAAAAGTGAAGGCGTACCAGTGATTTGGATTGTCCCACGTTCATTGGCAATCGCCGTGGGAAAGCAATTGTCAAATGTTGCAGAAAAGCCAAGCTAAATAGGGGACATTTCCTTCCACAGAAAGAGAATCAAGAAAACTCAGTCATAACATCAAGCTGTAACTGAGAAACAGAGCAATGACTAAAGAATTGTAAGAGACCTAAATTAAGTACAACTGGGATTTCACATTCCTTATGAAAATTACGGTTTTAGCATGAGATAATTAAAGCAAGGATAGCCAGCTCCTGGTGTGCCAGAACATATAACTCAACCTGTCATCTTCGTTCCTGAGAGTCCCCCAGAGTTGGTCAGGAAGCAGGCTGTCAGCCACACAAATCATTCACTAACCCACGGCAATCTCCCTGCTGCTCTCCCTTGCAAGAGCCCCGCAGCCTTCCTCCTGTCATGTAGCTGGACGTGCCCTAAACACACACTAGAGCCATCACCATCGCATGGAGCATGCGCATTCAGTAACATGACAAAAGGACTTATGTACATATGTCCCCAGCACAGTGGACTTATATGCATATGTCCCGGGCCACAGTCAAGGGGTGACTGCATATTAGTTACGTGACAGATGAGCACAAACTCCCTGGGTGCCTGGGTTGAGGGATGTTGGCTAGACCTGGCAGAGAAGCTGAGTGACACTGACCTAAACAAAGTGAAGAAAATGAAGACAAGTATTGTGGAGCTTAGGACTTGTCACAGAGAAACAAAGATGAGATCATCAGAGAATGTGAAGGGAAAAGCAGCAAACGCATATTGTCAAATAACTAAACCTTCATGCAAGTGAATTATTGGTGGGGTGAAGGAGGGGAACATCTTGATGACATGAGAAGAAAAAGAGAGGTGAAGATGAAGAACATTCCAGTGGAAGAAATACAAACATTAAGAAAAAGACAGACACTACTTCATGGACCTAAAAGACTAAACTTTTCAAAACTAATGAATTGGCCACAGAAAAATTACATGTTAAAAGACAAAGGGAAACATTAACAGCTTTGTATCATAAAAGATATTCAGAAGTATTGAAATTATGCAGCTTCTGCCATTAGATTACATTACAGCATATATAAGAAATGTGAAGAAAAGTAGTGACACATTGTAAAAGGGAAATGCATTTCCATAAACAGAGAAAAACTAACATTTCAAAATGCAAGGGGGTTGGGGCTGGGTTTTTTTGGGGCGAGGGGGACATGACATCAGGGCAGAAACCAGCATTAACTGCAGTACAGAACTGGGGATAGAGAAGTGATCCAAAACTCTGTGTAATACCATGTGCCAGGTTCACTGAAGGAAGCTTAGAGTTTTAACAGAGGTACTGGGGATCACCACCACCTCTCAATACCTCCCAGATGAATCTCAGGAGAAATAAAGAAGATGCAAGTAAGTCTGTTGTTGATAAGCATATCTGCCCGGTCATATCAACAACAGATCTTCAAGCCATCTACACTGAAATAGAGTGAAATCAATTTGGTAAACCAAGAAGCACTTGGATTTTTTTCTTCCATTTGCTTTTAACAATAAAACAGCTGGAGGAGAGATGTGTAAATATTAATCATAAGCTCTACTACTCTTGCCTGGCCTTGTGCAACAAGGCTTTCAAGTTCTTATATTTATCACCAAAATACGCAGCTCTCCAAAAATCTCAGAGGAAGCAAAACAGATGAAAAGCGAAGTGGGAAAAAAAAAAGAGGTTGAGACCATTTTAGGATAGATGAACAAGAGCATGATAGTACATAAGGTCTGAAGCAAAACAGCTGATATGCACAGCTATTTAGCTTCTAAAAGCTTGGCTTCAAATGAAAAAGGTTTCCACTACCATAGGCTCTGAAATACAACACCCTTACTCAGAAAATATCTTATTCAGAAGACAAATTTATAACACAATCACTAGTCATCAAGACCCAGAATAACGTCCTCTAGGTCAACTAAATTATTCAGACCCTTTCAGAACCTCAGCACATGATTTCAAGATCATACTACTTGTTTTAATCACAGCAGCATAAATCCTGAAGCAAACTGTACTTCCTCTTAGAGCAAAAACTGGAATGAACAGAAAGTCTCAGCTTTTAAGAAAAAGTACATTATTACAACAAAATAAGCAATCATGCCACTGATTCACTCTTCTAGCAGCTGGCCTACTGCACCATATGGTGCCTTCAGACCATACGGATTTCATCCTAGGTTTAAAATACTTCCATTTCGAACGTCACTTAATTTTAAGGTTGTTCTGATCAGTTCTTTCAAGGTCAGTATGAGCGTCTAATACAGGTACATCTTAGATGGTAACATCTATTCATTCCAGTCACTTCAGAAAAAACATATTCAGGGAAGGACTGTATTTGCAGCTCTTCCATGTCCAACAAATCCATTCACTTTTCAATTTGCATTTACTTGCCTATTTATTATCAGCTCACTAGCTGGCCAGCTAGCTACTATCCCAGCAGACTATGGCTTTCTGTCTTCGTGACACTGCTTAAATGTTTCTACACTTAACATTTACTTGCTGTTTCACTCAGTCTTTCCCACCTGTTAACCTCTGCCAGTTTCCTCCATTTGATAGTCACTGCAAGTTGCAGTGTCTTTCTTGGCGTCCCTGTAACAACAGCACTGAGGTGCTTTGACCAGCTAGCAATTGCCCTTCACTGTGGCAGCCTGACAGCCCAGGTGGGTATGTCCAGAGCGCAGAGCTCGTGTCTTCCCTGCCTCTCTAAATGCCTCTTAACCCCTTTTGGTTTGTGTTACCCGCTATCCTACGGATTTAGGAAGATAGTGTCTGTTTCATCGCAATTTCACAGAATCACAGAATGGTTTGGGCTGGAAGGGACCTTAAAGATCACCTGGTTCCAATCCCCCTGCCATGGGCAGGGGCACCTTACACTAGACCAGGTTGCTCAAAGTCTTGAACACTGCCAGAGAGGGGGCATGTGCAGCTTCTCCGGACAGCTTCTCCGGACAGCCTGTTCCAGTGCCTCACCACCCTCATTCCCAGGATTTCCCTGCCTGCCTCTTGACAGTGCCTGCACAATAGGCCGTTTTTTATTTTAGATATCTACTACGTGATTTACATAGTGAACGCTACCAAGAATCTCCCATAAACGGGGTACTTGCTTCATCTCATTCGTACCTGGGAAGTCTCATTTTTAAGTTCAAAAGCGCCTTCATGCAGACGAACGCATCTAAACAAGCTCTGAAAGCGAACTTGCAGCACCGTTTCCACGGGGAGGACTCGCCCCAGCCTCCGCCTCCCTCAGCCCCGCGCAACGGCACCTCGGGCTGCTGGGACGCCTA